TCAGCCTTCCGAGTAGCCAGAATTACAGGCATGCGCTACCATGCCCGGCTGATTTTTTTGATTTATTGTAGAGATGAGGTCTCGCTGCCCAGGCGGGTCTCGAACCCGCGGGCTCAGGCAATCCACTCACCTCAGCCTCCCAAAGGCACGGGATTACAGGCTGAGCCACCGAGCCCAGCAGTAAATATATGTTTTATCTGATTATTTCATATTTTTAAACAGCATCATGTCTACTTTTCATGAAAATACACCATGATACAGAAAAATATATTTTTCTTTTCCTAATTTAAAAAAATGTATAATGCCAGTGGTGACAGGACCTAATAATAGGAATCAAATGTAATCTTTAAATTTAATTTTCCTCTGTAAGATTTGAGTATATACACACATACATACCCAAATACCCAAATAAATGGATACATACATATATGTTTACATATACACATAGAATATTAAAATTTCACCTTTTATTTTTGAGCAATTGTAAGTTTGTGAGGTAATTTGAAATAATACTTTTGATTCCCCCACTACTACCCATCTGTTTTATCAGAAATGAGCACTTAAAAAAAAGTGATTTTTTTCTGGTCTGTGTGAAATCTTGTGGGGAGAAAACAAAACATCATATTTTTCAAGTATTCTGAAAACTTATTTACTGGATTTATTTGGCCCTTACATTCCTTGCCATGTCAGTACAGATGTTCTTGTTATTGTAAGGACTCACCAGTTTCTATCTGGTAATTATTATTTATACATTTCTCCTATGATTCTTCCTCTTATTTCCCTCTCAATACATTATTCTGTGTTAGTTCTGGACATCTTGTTAGAAGTTTCATTGCAGGTTCAATATCCTCTTACCTATATTTTTCTTGTTCTGACATACTGATGATTTGGTAAGGTACTGAATTTGGACATAATATTAAAGAACTTCCCATCAACATATTGAAAAGATTCCAAATTCAATATCTGTATCCCTGACCATCTTACCTAAAATCAATTGCTTCCTCTTATTCCTGGCATCTTTGCCATTCTATTTTAACTTGCTTGTTTTTTTTTAAACAGCATTTGCTATTGCTTCACATGTTTATTTGTATACCTATTTATTATCTGTCTCCCTCACTAAGATATAGGCATCATAAAAGTAGGCACTTTGTTTTGCTTACCTCTGGTGCCTAGAACAATACCTGGCACATACTGACTCTTAAATTTATTGAGTTATTTATTTAATGCACATATGTCTGCCTTCATATATTTCATAGCCTAAAATGCCAAATTATAACTGTAGCAAACATATCAGTAAGTATCTTCCAGCTAAAGACTAAAGAATAAGTTTATCTAAGACAGCATCAGCAATTGTGTAGCACTCAGCCTCTTGTGGCTCGATCCAGTGGCCTGTGTATATCCACACTTTCTAAACTTTTTTCTTCCTAAAAGTAGTTTAAACTTTCAACTGTTTTATGAAATTTAGCAATTTTAGAGTTCACTGAAGGCATAAACTATGTCTTATTTATTTCTGTGTCCCTGAAGCATACATAGTTCATTGTTCACATAACTGGCACTTAATAAATGTTGTTGAATTTGCTGGGCTTGGTGGCTTAGCCTGTAATCCCGCGCTTTGGGAGGCTGAGGTGAGTGGATTGCCCGAACCCTCGGGTTCGAGACCCGCCTGGGCAACTTGGCCAGACCTCATCTATACAATAAATAAAAAAATCAGCCGGGTGTGGTTACACGTGCCTGTAATTCCAGCTACTTCGAAGGCTAAGGTGGAAGGATTGCCGGAGCGCAGCAGGTCAAGGCTGCAGTGGCCGGGAGCGGCCATGGCACTCCGGTCTGGGCGACTGAATGAGACTCCAACTCAAAAAAAAAAAAAAAAAATTGAAGAAGCCCCTTTTTTGCTTCCTGATTCAACTCATAAGAAGCTCTTTGTTCTTTAGACTTCTGATAAAATGACATTTTAGTGATATTTTTTAAGGTAGTAAATACAAGGCACTTGATTAAAATTCAGTGATAATTTTTTTTAGTAGTAGTAGTATTTTTACCCAAATAGCAAATGGCCAGTCTTTCCTAGAAGTGGTAAGATTTGCCTTTTAGTACAGTTTTAACCCCTTTCTCACTACAAATGAGCTATGTACTAGATTTCTAACCTTTTACTAATGATTAGAGTCATTTTTCAATGTTTGTCATGAAGTTGACTTTTTGACTTATTACTTTTCTGGAGTATGTGTGTGTGTATAACGTACTATTGAATTCATTTGATAATCTCTGTTTTATTCCTTTCTACTTCAGTTCCTCTTCACTTCACAAATGTGCTTGAGGTGATAATTACATTGCAGGTTTTGCCAAAATAAAATTGGGCTTTAATTGACCTATTCTTAAAATTAAAGCTTAACTTTCCAGAGATGCGATTTTGTCTATTTAAACACAAGATTCCTCCTTTTTAGGATATTCTAAGTATCTGATGCACAGTTAACACTGCTTGGCATAAATGATAGAATATATGAGTCCCTTCAAAGAATGTCATCTTCCACTTGACAGGGAATATATGATCTTAGGAGAAAAAGTTCTTAAACACAAGTTTTTCTTAAAAGTATATCTAGAACAGATGATTCCACGATGTAATGACTTTAACTATACTAGTGATTCCAAACTTACCCAAGCTAGTTTGGAAGGTGGGTTTTTCCTCAGTTTCTGATTTGCGAATGTATATGGATCATGGCCTGGAATTGACCAATGGGAGATTATCACATTGTTTAAAGATTTTGTGATTTAAGCCAGGCACTGTGACTCACACCAACAATCTCAGAACTTTAGGAGGCAGAGGCGAAAGGATTGCCTGAGCCCAGGGGTTCAAGACCAGCCTAGGCAATATGGGGAGACCTCATCTCTACAGTAAATCAAAAAATTAGCCAGCTGTGGTGGTGCACATCTGTAGTTACAGTTACTTGAAAGACTGAGGCAGAAGGACCGCCTGAGCCCAGCAGGTCAATGCTGTGGTAGTCGTGAGCATACCACTGCACACAAGCCTGGGCGACAGAGTGAGACTCCGACTCAAAAATTTTCAAAAGATATTGTGATTTGATAATCTGATGCAGTGTAAGTAGTTGGAATGATGAACACAGGGAGAGCCCTGGTGAGACAAAAGAGATTGAAACTGCTCTGCCTCAGGCAGTCCCTACACTGGCAATAGCAGCACTACTGAAAGAGGAAAGAAGAACTAAGATTTATTTTTAACTTACTATTGTTCACAAAAATACATTTTGAGTATCTAAACAGAGATTAAATTGTATATGCTGACACCCTTGTATTTAGAGTTTCTGAAGTACTCACAAGATGTCTTCCACTGAATCATTTAACTTAAATTAGCTTAATCAAAACTATTGTTTCTTAGTAGAACTATTATTTTGACAGGCAAAGTTCATATTTTGTGCCCTCATCAGGATAAATTAAACCTAATATTGTTTAAATATCTCTAAAAGAGTGTTTGTTCCTAAGAAAAAGAATAACAGGAATATTTGGAGTACTTCTACATTTGAAGCAACAGAATTTATGAGGCTTTAGTTATCTCAAAACCCTTTGTGTTATAGATATTAACAGCTTTGCCCAAGACTTTTCTATTGAATTAGCATCTGTGCTGTGGGAGCAATTTGTAATACAATGAAGTATAGCTCATTGAAGACTCCATGTATCAAGAGTAGCAAATAACACATCTTATGTATAGAATAATTCCATATATTCTTAGACATCTTAAAATAAATATTTCTAGAAAGTAAAGTATAAGAAGTCAAGTTACAATGTTACTGAGTTTAATTTTTTTTCAGGTGGCTTAACAGAATTAATATGCTGACTGCAGGATATGCAGAAAGAGAGAGGATTAAGCAAGAACAAGGTAAATGAATACCTTTTTTTGACAATTATGTTATACTTTTTTCTCGGTATTATCTTATACAATGACTCTGCTATCACTTAAGAGAAAATGCACGTGTTAATTTGTCATTATTTCCCTTCTGGGCACTTTGAATCCAGACTATAGCATCTTACAAGGTTTAATAACTTGAAAAGATAAGGACTGAACTCTCACATTTTTGGAGCAGCTAATGAGTAGTTCTCTCCTGTTTGTCTCCCTCTCCTTTCATCTATTTCCAATAAGGAAACAAAATCTTAAAAATTAAAAAGCCTATATTAGGTCCTGTGTATAGATAGACTTAAGTCCAAGTCCTTGGTCATGAGCTGTTTTTTGTTTGTTTTTTCTATTTAGAAGTTTCACAGACATTTAAGTGGCCTTTTATGCAAAGAGATTAAATTAATCCCTCCTTTCATAAATTGTCTAATTTGGTATGTTCTACAGCTCTGGTACTATGTAACTCTGTGATCTTACAGAATTTGTTTTGGCATTGAGCTCAGATTTATGTAACATAATGTCATGATGCAGAATTGAAATCTAATGAACGAAGTCTGAGATGGCTTCACATTTCCCAAAGGGTGTTTGTTGTATATCCCTTGGAAGCATGAATCGTTTTTTGAAATTGAGATATCCTAAAGTTAAAAGAATTCCATAGATTGACATATACATATACAGATACTAACCTATGTGTAATTGTGTCAGAAGTGGGCATAGCCAATTTTTTGATGTGGAAATTCTTAAAAACCTGTTTCCTCTCAGAGTAAAATGTTGGCCAGAACTTTTTAAAAACATCTAAAAACTAAAGTAGTTGAGATCTAAAGAAGACAACCAGATCCTAAAACCAGTATGTCTGCAAATGTTTAGACAGAGGTCAGTAAATTTTTTCTCTAATGAACCAAATAATATTATGAAGTTAGTAGACCATACAGTCTCTCTCATAGCTATTCAGCTCTGCTATGAAAGCAGCTATACATACATGGCTATGTTCCAATAAAGTTTTATTTAGAGACACTGAGATTTGAAGTTCATATCATTTTTCACACTTTGAAAATATTCTTCTTTTCCATGTGTTTTACCCATATAAAATGTAAAAACCATTCTTGATCCACAGGCCGTGTAAAAATGAGCAGAGGGCCGCCTTTGACCTGCAGGTCAAGGTTTACCAACCCTTGGTTTAGGCCATGGGATGAGGGTAGAGGGATTGGTGGATATGTGTAGGGCGAGAAGATAGTTCAGGAAGATCTCAGATAAATAGCAAAACATGGTTTCTGCCTATGGGAATTTTTCATCTTATTGAGGACCTCAAAAATGCATACTTGAAATTACTTTTAAAAAATTAAAGAGCAACATAAAAGCAAATGAGCACTAATTTTTACACAGTGTGCAACTGATTAAAAAATGTTGCTGGATGTATGCAAATTTTTTAAGCCTGAGAAGGAGTCAGGGTAATGAGAAAATGCTTGCTGGAGAAAGTAGTCAATAAGCGTGATGTAAAGTTGGCAGTGGAGAGGGAGAGAAGATATTTTATTCAGTATTAAGTGCTTCTGTGTAAGGCCCTCAACTAGCACTCTAAATATCTAAGGTGAACCAGACACCCATCTGTCTGCAATTACAGTAGGAAAGATACTCTTAGTACGTTATAGAAAGTGAAACATAATAAAGTACAAATCAATTTCTGTGGGAATGAAGCTGGAGAGAGTCGTTCCAGGAGGGGAATGGGGAAAAGGTTTATGTTGGCTGTATTTTCTGAACTGGTTCTTGCAGAATGGGAAAGGTGTGGTCTCAAGGAACTAACTAAAACTCCCAAGTGGTAGTAGCAGCATGGATAATTCTAAAAATGATATGAAAGCCATCTCCATCAAATCAGTGTACATAGGCAAATTCTAGCCAAGACTATGAATAGTCAAACTAGTTTTTAAAACACATTTCTTAATGGTTAAAAGTTTATTTCCCACCTTCATGCCTAAGTGTAATTCATAGGCCTAAATTTGTGGTAAGAGTGCTGAAAAAAATACCAGTCTTCCTTTTCAAATTTCTTTAAAAGGCATAAAACAGTTCTTTAAAATTACTTATAGATTTGTTTCCTGATTTTTTTAAATGCAGGAATTAGAAGTGTGGGCAAGGTACTGATTTAAAAAATGAATCTTTGAAAAATTTATCTGCATGAGTAAGGAAGCTTGTATTTTCAGTGTTAATGTCTGTTATCACATGACATTACTTTGAAGCTGAGCTTGGTCTTGATTTTGGTGAATTTCCTTTGTACTTGGCATTATATAACGAGATTTCATTATGGATAAGAGAACTGGTAAGTTATATTGCACATGCAGATTCCAAAAATTATTTATTCTGTGTATTCATGCCACACTGGTCTGTCATGTGAGTATGTATGTTAGTGCCTACTGGAGTGTGGTAGAAAATCATAGGCAGAAGCTAATAGTTAAAATTCAATGCAACCAGAATCTTTGTAATAATTCTTATTCCCACATAGAGTATATGTTCCTCAGGTACTTTCATGTAAGTCAGAAACATATTAGACTTCCTGCCTTCTGCATGATTGCATCTCATGGTATTCTATTTAGAAAACTACTAGATGCACATGTTTGCTCCACATTTCTGTAGAGTTATTTGCTATATCCTGAGTACCATTATCAGTATTGAAATTAAGCTTCATGCAAAATAAAGCTCTTTGAGGATTGGGAATATTTCACCAAGATGCAAAAGAATAGCTGCCAAACACTGTTTCTATTTAAATACCCAGTGCAGCTTAGAACTGACTCTTTCACTGACTTAAATAAAAGTTTAGTGAATTACTGTCTTTAATTACAGAAGTGTAAAAGATGTGGAGTTCTTTTTTAATATCCATTGTTTTATAGAGAAAACAGAGTTACACTAGATTCAACCAGGATAACAATTTGGCTGTCTACTGAGTATTCCTCTATTTTTTCCAGATTCAAGACAGACACTCATGATACATTATTTTCTATCACATATAAGATCTTTGCAAAACTTTAATCACATAAAACTTAATGAATACATTGTATTTCTTTGATGGTTCTAAATTTAAAAGTTTTTTTCTCATATTATCCTTTTATATCAACATGAGAGGGTAAAGTGGAAATTTTCCTCTTCTAGCGGTAACACTGCTTTTTATGATTGCTTATAAAATTATATATCATTGCAAGAGACATTAAAATTGTTTTTATTTTGTGCTATATAGACAACTAAGAAAAATAAATTAATTTGCTCTTAAAATCAAAAACAGACCTGTTTCAGCCTCTTATCAATGATGTGTCTCTGATTTTTCATACAAACCTGGAAAAACTTAACTAAATTTTCTATGTAGCCTCTTCTCTGGCATTGCTTTCTCAAAGACACACAGCTTAGTGTAAGAAAAGAAGATAATTTGCAAAGTGGTATTTCACTTTTCTTAGGCAATCCAAGACAACTTTAGATTGATGGTGCTTTTTAATAAACCAAGAATTACATCAAATAGTGGGACTAAAATTCTTCCTAATTTAGCCGGGCAGAGAGAGACCCTCCCAAAATCTGTCACTTATAGCACAACTATAGAGCCCTTGATAAAATGGTGATCATCTCCTTCTCAGTGTACTCTTAAGGACCACTTGAGGTATTAACTCTTTAACACTCCAAAGTATGCAAACATCAAAGAGATACTCAGCACAGGTGCCACATTTCCTGGAAATAGTGGGAAGGATGAGGACAGAGTGATCTTTGCTTTGTGTGTGAGGTGGGGGGCGGGGGCAGGCATGCTTGTTCCCTTTACCTCCAGCATTAACTTCCCAGTAGTATTTCAAGCTCTCACAACTACCCACCCCAGACTCAAGGGTTTCAGATTTCACTTTTTATTGCTGAGACTACAAGAGAAAACATCTGAGAAGATGAACACCAGGTCTGGCATGCTACTACAGTTATACTCAAGATAAGGGGGTCCTGATATTTATTGAGTGCTATCAAGATACAAGGCACTTAAATATATGTTACCTTATTTAATGCCACCATACACACAACTCTGAAAGGCAGTTATTGCTTTTTTTTTCTTTTTCAATTTCTTTTTTTTTAAAGATGTGGGATACAGTTCAGGGTTAGGTATACAAATGTTCATTATGCAGGTACTCTTGTTGATGAGGTGTGCCCTCCCTTCCCCAGGCAGATTTCCACTACTGCCAATCCCGCTTCCCTGCCTCCCTTCCAGTAGTTTCCAGCTACTGCCAATCACTCTTTCATAGTATTACGATAATTGCTCAAGGTCCGCTTTCTAGTGAGAACATGTGATACTCAGTTCTTTGTTTCTGTGAAAGATAACTCAGTATTATAGACTCTAAGTGAAAGGCAGTTATCATTAGTCCCTTTTTACAGATGACAAAACATACTCAGAGAGGTTAAGTAACCATCACAAGAGCACAGAGATGGTATGTGGTCTGGCTAAGAATTGTGCCTACACCTGCCTGAGTATGTAGTTCAGCATTTGCTGGGTCGATTTCTGTGCAACTGTGTCAATTCATATTTGAGGGAAGACTTGGTATGCTGCCTGTCACTGGCATGATCCTGTGGGAAAAACAGATATCAAATTTGGATTCATTAGTCCTTGCTTATATTTTACTCAAAAGAAATAATTTTAAAAGGAACCTAATTTTCAGAGTCCTTGTGTTTTGAGGCCCGAATATAATGTACAATTTGTTTTATTCCCAATCTCTATTGCTGAAGAATTTCTTTTCACAATAACCCGAGGTATATAGAAAGAGGAGGTAGGGGGATAAAATGATCATCAATATACTTCACATCAAACTCTCCTGCTATGTTATACAGGAGTTCCAGCAAACTTAGTCCTCAGAACTTTAGGGTAAGGCAATTTCTTAGTTCAAACTCCAGCTCTGTTACTTTCTATTCTACATAAAGTAATTTCTAAATACATGTTAGTTATATTTATTATTAATATTAATCAGAACCTCAGGGAAAATATATGAAAATATTACAATGTGGGGATTCCTGGATGGAGGGGAGCTCCTGTAAATATATGTGCTGTGATTTTTCACCTAAATCTGAATATTAGCTAAGCCTCGTGATAGTTTTTTTGTGATTTAAATTTCCACAAGTATAAGGAACCTTTGTTTTTTTTTTTTATTTTAAAGATGTGAGGTACAGTTCAGAGTTAGGTATACAAATGTTCATTATGTAGGTACCCTTGTTAATGAGGTATGCTCCCTCTTCCCCAGGCAGATTCCCACTACTGCCAATCCCAGCTCCCCATCCCCCTCCAGGCAGTTTCCCACTACTGCCAATCATTCTCTTATAGTATTATGGCAATTGTTCAAGGTTCACTTATGAGTGAGAACATGTGTTCTTTGTTTCTGTGAAAGATCACTCAATATTATAGACTCTAAGTCCATCCAGGTTGCTGTGAAGTTCATGATTTTGTTCTTCTTTATGGCTGCGTAATATTCCATTCTGTACCACATTTTTTTATCCAGTCCTCTTTTGCTGGGCAACACAGTTGGTTCCATGTTCTTGCTACTGTGAACAATGCTGTGATAAACATACGTATGCAGGTATCTTTTTTATAGAGTGATGTGAGTTCTTCCAGGTATATTCCCAGTAGGGGATTTGTGGGGTCGTATGGAAGGTCGATGTTTAGATCTTTTAGGAATCGCCACACTGTTTTCCACAGAGACTTTACTAGTTTACACTCCCACCAACAGTGTAGAAGTGTTCCCTTTTCGCTGCATCCTCTCCAGCATCTGTTTTTTGAGTTATTGATGATACCCATCCTGACTGGAGTTAGGTGGTATCTCAGTGTAGTTTTAATTTGCATTTCTTTGACGGCTAGTGAAACTGAGCATTTTTTCATGTATCTGTTGACTGCTCATACGTCTTCTTTTGAGAACCGTCTATTCATATCTTTTGCCCACTTTGTAATGGGGCTGTTTGTTTGTTTTTTGTTTTCGGCACATTTGAGTTCCTTGTAGATCCTAGATGTTAGGCCTTTGTTAGACATACAGTTGGCAGATATTTTTTCCCAGTCTGTGGGCTGCCTCCCTGAGGAATCTTTGATTTTAATACCTTTCTCTTTTATCATCTGAAATTGATGTGGGTATTACTTTGGGGTTTTTTCTTGTAAATCACATAAAGAATAAACCCAGCAGTTACAGCATGTTTGAGATATTAGTGGAACAGATTCCGATTATTGTTCCTTTTGCAGCATTTTACTTATTCTAGTAATGTGTCTCTCAGAGTTCTTCCCCTCCCTCTTGCCTGAGGTATGCCAAGTCACTTTGTCTAGCAACTTACATTTGCTACCCTTTTAAATAGTTCTGGAAGTTTGAGACTTGCAGCCCACATCAGCAGATTTGCCCTTTTGCATTTGGCAAGAATCTAGGTTTGCCATGTGTTTCCAAGGAAAGGTGGGAGTATAGTGCTATAGAGATTTCATGTCAGCATGACTCTGAAAAGAGTGATTGTTAGATAACCAGTTAATTGAAGCCAGAAAAGAGAATTAAGAGCATTGTTTTTGGAGGTGTTAATATCTGTAGAGATCTACAGCAATGTATTTATTGCTTTTCTTTGATTATTTATTTGTCTTTAAGAAAAATGATATGCCTTTGAGAAGTATGATGTGATAATGGAAGCTTCAGAATAATTTGGTCTGGAATCTGAAACACTTGAAACATATTTGGCTTATTTTTAACACCCTAAAATTACAATTATATATAATCACTTGCTTTAAAAGGAAATTGGAATTAGGTGATTGTACTCTTCTTTTCTCTTCAAAACCCAGTTGAAAATAAAATAAAGTTGGTGGGCCTGGGGTAGGGTAGTGCTGGAATGAATGAAATTTAAGTTGTTTTTTTTAATGTTAGTGTATGTTCCTGAAAATGTGGCTATAGACACTTAATAGAATGTTGATGTATCTGTGTGTGTGAATTTTCAGATTACTGGAGTGAGAGTGACAAGGAAGAAGCCGATACTCCGTCAACACCAAAACAAGACAGTCCTCCACCCCCGTACGATACATACCCACGGCCTCCCTCTGTAAGTTAGCAACAGGAATATGCATAATATATCACCAGATTCTTAGACCTAAAACATCCTTTAGTATGTTCAAGAAATATGAAGTGGGTTACATGTCAAGTCTTATGCTTCTTAAGGGAAAAGAAAATCGGATGTCTAAAATCAGTAAGGAATTTGCGTAACTATACAAGGAATATTTCATCAGGAGAAACACCATGTTTAAAGAGTTGTTTAGTAAAGCTATAGTTTATTTTTCTTCCTGTTTTACAAACATTTTTATAGAATTACTCAGATCCTGATGTTTTAGAAAAAGAAGGAGAATATGAATTAGTCCCCTGGAGTAATACAAAACTTTAATTAGGTTGGCTGTTATTGTCACCTAATTTCAGTTTCCTTTTCCTATGTGGAAGACTCGGACTCAAGATGGGCAATATTGATTCTTATTATAGAATAAGTATCTAGAATTCCAGGCAGAATAAGTCTCTCACCTGTCCTATTAAAAAAATATACTATTTGGGTTAAAGTAGCCTTAATGGAGATGTTAACAACAAAAAAAAGTTTTCTTAGAAAAAGATATATTAATTGACTTTATCTGTTCCAAATTAATAAAGTTCATTCCTATGTCCTTTGGAAGCAGTTCATAAAAATTAGTATTATATCTATTTTGAAGATATTTTGGCATGTAATTTTTTAGGCAGCCATGGGGTCTGGTTTAAGGTGCATGTTTATATGATGCTCCAGACTTCTTTAGCCTTTGTAAATTACCCTGTGTATGGACTGTATTTTGATCTTTTCATAAGGTAAATAAATAGCTGCACTAGTTCACTTGGTAGTATCCTACTTTATGCCCATTTCCCATCAGCATCATGGAGAATGTCTCAGTGTTCCTGTTTACACTGTATGTTCCTACTCATGTTACCATTTGAATCAATTCTGCCCATCTTGAGACTGAGTCTTCTACATGGGAAATGGAAGCTGGATATTATTCCAGGAGGGTAACTAATATTTCCCTCTTTTTCTAAAACATCAGGATCTGAATAATTCACTTATAAAAATATTTATAAAAGAAGAAGAAAGGGGAACTTCAGCTTCATTCTTTAAACATAGCAACTTGTGGATTTCAAGAAGAACACTATTCACATTATTGTTAACATGTGGGAAGAGAACTGACTGCCTTCAGAGGATGCCAAGTAATTTCTATCCCTTTTCCAGGAGGGGTGGCTTGCAATTTCACCTCAGCCAGTCTTGTTTTGGCAGCCACCTCATCTCCATTTGTGATTATTACATTTAACAAATCAGGCTTCTCTGCCAGAAAGGAGCCAGGACTGGTATGTTAACTCCCAGAGCTAGAGTATTGTGGCAATAGGGGTGCCTACAACTATTTTACAGTGTCTATTTGATACTAGTCCTTTTTCCTTGTTGTGCTTTGTGCTATAACATATATTCCCAAACTTTAAATTCCAGGGATAAAAAATCCCATTGCCTTCTGTGTTTATGTACCCCGCAGTGCCTATGCTCATGCTAAGTCTAATCCCCAGCAAGGTATAATCTCATCCTGTCTACATTTTTAACCCTCTTGAAAGAAAGACCATCAGACAGCTTTTCTGTGCCACCCTTAGAAGAAAAGAAAAGTTTCTGTTTCTAGGCAACTTATTATCATATCCAAAAGATTTTCTCTTTGTCCTTACCCCCAAGCTACATAAAATCCAGAAATATGAATCTGGGGACAATACTTCTTCAAGATTTCAAAATGTGTAGAGTTTAAAACTGAAAACTTTTTAGTTGCAGAATATTTCTTATGTAAGCATATTTTCTTATACTTTCAGTGTTGTAAATGTTTGCATTAGTATGTCAGCTTCTTCACAAGAGCTTGGTATAGCTGCATTTCAATACATCTATGTCTCTTAAAGTGTTCTCTGGGGACTAACTTTGAGACATCTGCAAACTTGCCCAGTTGTTAACTTGACAGTACTAGAGTTCACCCACTTAAGTGTTACCTGATAAAAACTGAATGTGTTCCTTGACGATAGAGTTGGTCTGTTATTTTGGTGGAGACTAATCAGAGGCTCCTTTCCACAGATGAGTTGTGCCAGTCCTTACGTGGAAGCAAAACACAGCCGACTTTCCTCCACGGAGACCTCTCAATCTCAGTCTTCTCATGAGGAGTTTCGCCAGGAAGTAACCGGGAGCAGTGCAGTGTCCCCCATTCGCAAGACAGCCAGTCAGCGCCGCTCCTGGCAGGATTTAATTGAGACACCACTGACAAGTTCAGGCTTACACTATCTTCAGACTCTGCCCCTGGAGGATTCTGTCTTCTCTGACTCCGCGACCATCTCTCCAGAGCACAGACGACAGTCCACCCTTCCAACTCAAAAGTGCCACCTACAGGATCACTACGGGCCATACCCCTTAGCTGAGAGCGAGAGGATGCAAGTGCTAAATGGAAATGGGGGAAAGCCTCGTAGTTTTACTCTGCCTCGAGATAGCGGGTTCAACCACTGCTGTCTGAATGCGCCAGTTAGTGCCTGTGACCCACAGGATGACGTGCAACCCCCAGAGGTGGAAGAAGAGGAGGAGGAGGAGGAGGAAGGGGAGGCAGCAGGGGAAAACATAGGAGAAAAAAGTAAGTATGTTTCTGGAGATTCTTAGCCTGTGTACACAAAGTCCTAACCTTTTCAATCTTCTTATTCAAAGAAAGTAGAATTTCGTTTCCCTTTTTTCTTAAAATATTGGTCTTGCTGTATAATAAGTTGTCTCCCTTGGAGTCCTACTTTCAGAATTTCAATAACTTGGGGGAAAATGATGAGTATTGAAGCTTATATCCCATGACACCCACAACTGGAGCAAATTTTTTTCTCCAGCTATTCATTTGCCATTTAAGGTTAATGGTATTTATTTTTTTTCTTCCTTATCCACTTTTTTCTTGCTTGCATGCATCATCTCGTTAGCCCACAGTGGTTGCCTATTGAGTTGGGTTAAGAAACTATAAATGCTTCCAGCAGGGTGTTAGCAGAACCATGGTTGAATAAGTGAATACACATACAATACACACACACACACACACACACACACACACACACACCCCTACACATATACATATATATATATATCTTCCCTTTTCTTTTCTTTTTTTTTTTATTTGAGTTGAAGTCTCACTCTGTTGCCCAGACTGGAGTGTAGTGGCTGCTCCTGGCCACCACAGCCTCGACCTGCTGGGCTCCGGCGATCCTTCCGCCTCAGCCTTCCAAGTAGCTGGAACTACAGGCGTGCGCTACCACGCCCAGCTAATTTTTGATTTATTGTAGAGATGAGGTCTTGCCAAGTTGCCCAGGCAGGTCTCGAACCCGCAGGCTCAGGCAATTCACTCACCTCGGCCTCCCAAAGCGCAGGATTACAGGCTGAACCACCGAGCCCGGCTGTATCTTCCCTTTTCACTAACAGAAGATTTAATGGAGAAATCCAAAAGACAATTTTTTCCAAGGAGAGATTATAGCATTTCTGTCAACTCCAAATAGCTGAACTTGTTTCTAGAAACTAATTTGCCAAAAGCATCCATCTATTTTCTTGGTATGTATGTTGATTAGAAAACTCAATTTATGTAAATCAACTCTTGAGAGACAAGCCAATTAAGTAACCCTCAGTCTTGCTGGTATTAAGACTATGTTTATTAGTTATTAAGTTCTTTATTCAACATGCCATACCAAGGATCTGTTTATAATGAATGTGATGCATCAGTCCAGAAATGCAGGCTAGTTTAAGGTAGAGGTTATAACTCAATTATTTTAGTTAGAAAGAAAATCTAGATTTGACTATAAGTCCTGAATGTAAAATTCAAATATATATATGAAGAAATAGTATCAAACGTTTACATCTCTTTATTCAAAATACAGTCTGGGCCAAGTAGTGCAGATGACTTGAGCCATTGGCGATGAAACTGTAGTTACTGGTGTGGTGCCCCTAGTACATTTGACTTCTCTTTTTAAAGGATACAATCAGAATGCAGCCTTCAGCTCATTTTGCAAGTATACAGGACTTCGATTACTGGATATATTAGTGTAAGTCAGGAGCCCCATGTCAGTGTCAAGGGTGGCTCATTCAAAATGATAGTAACTTTAGAAAATACTGACAAGAAAATAGAGTGGACCTTCTTTTAAGGTATGGGTCTTCACTGCATTATTTAAGGAGAATTAAATTATAATTCTACCAAATATAAGAATTGCTTATAATAAAATTAATATGCTGAGGCAGTTCCCATGTGAAATATATTTTAGCCATAATTTCCATAAGAAAAATTATAAAAGGTATGCTGTTGGTGCAGGAAAAGTAATTACCATCCATTACCTGCCAAGCCCTCCCAACATTCACATCTGTCAGAGATTATCAACGACTCCTATGGAAGAAATATTTAGGAGCCATGCTAGGCCTCTGTAGGAATTCTGTCAAGCATAATAATACATTTTTAACATTCTAATGATTACCAAAATTAATATATTGTTCTCTAAAATATAACTAAAGATGAATCTAAAACTTCATTTCTACTATCGTTTAGGTATTACACAACTGCTATGACTAAGTATGTGAGGTTTGTGTATTGTTTTACAAATATATTGAGGAAAACACTTTATCTCAGCCATTTTATATAAACTATGTTGAAATTAGACACAGTATTGTGTTCAGAAAGTATTTCATCATTCCTACAGGTCAAGTCACTAATGCTGTCTTGTTTCGGATAAGCTAGGCATTTAACACTTCGTCCTTGTCATTGTGTAGGGGAGGACTAGAAAGGAACAGGCATGTCTTAGGACATGAAAGCACGGTATCATGTTTGCCCTTTTTTCAGGTTTTCAGTAGCCCACAGAGCTTCTCTTGTTAGATGGTTTTTGATTTTTTTTTTTTCTAAAGTCTGTTTTGTGTTTTTTCTGTGGATTGAATTTATGTTTAGCCATATAGATGCACTCCTAAGTCAGTGGGTGTATTTCTTCATGTTCCAAATGAGTTAAGTGGGTAGTTATCTAGTAATTTCCATCTTTTTCAGTGGACTCTCTTTTTGTAGAATAATTGTGATAAGGCAGAAAAGACCTAGTTAAGTGTATCAGTAAATTTGGTATTATACATTTTGTCTTTACAGTTCAATACTATGGGGCAGTTGCTGCTGCTTCAGTCAGATCTGCTTCACTGAAGGTGGCCTTGCACTATCTTTCAGGCCTCATTTCTTTCCGTGTATTTTTCCATAAACCTTGCCACTTGCTGTCTCAGTATACTTCAAACTGTTCACTACAGAGTAGTGTATTTCATGCTTGCCTGGAAAATGCTTCTTATTCAATGGAATATATGTTTACCTTTCTATTGATGGTTTTTCTGCATTGCTATTTCTGATATTTAGGAATGTGCAATTTGGTGAACACTTCATTTGGGGAACATTGGCTTTAAAAAACATGTTTTCAAAAGAATCTTTAGGGTCTACTAAAGGGATGTCATGTTCATGGCTGCCCTGGATTGGCCATTAGGAATAAATATTCAGGCTGCTGGTTCAAATCAAGCTGCTTGGAGTTATATCAGCAGAGCAAAGCACAGGAATGAAGCTGTGGCCATTACATCAGCCTCAGATTTCTGTGCATGCCTTCCAACACAGAGCCCTCACTGTGCTGCAGCACAATTCAGCAGGCAACCTGTGCTTGTAAAAATCGAAGTCCAACAGCAGTATGTTACTAACTGTCCTGCTCCAGGCCAGCATTCGATTTGACCTACTAAAGTAAATTTGTACTAATCAAGTACAGAACTGCAGAGAAAATAAGTTTAATGTCTAGCTCCAAACATATTTCTCAGTTTGCCCAGAAATTTAAAACAGTAAGCATCAGGCAAGTGGGCAAAAGGAGTAATAGAAGAAAACATGAAAATAGAACCTGTCTTATGCCTTCAGAGTGAAGAATCTTGTCATCTACGAAACCTCTTTATTAACATTTATATTTTACATTACCTCATGGAATACAATATATACTATATAGTGCTTATGATCTTACAGAGCAATCTAAGAAACAAGATGTACCTAAATCCATTCCCTAGTTGTTTTTTAGTTTCCTTGTGGATTTGGAATTTAGCCCTGCTTATGAAGTGTAAATTTAGCCTTCCTTAGAACATACTTCAATCTGTGTTCTCATGGTTGAACTACCTTTTGTCTTATTTTGAAATTCAATTATTTAACTGAGTCATACTGTGATTTTTCTCAAGCTGAACTCATTTTAGTCTGAAATGGATGGTACTAAAAGTACACAGATGAGACCTGACTTGTTTTCCTTTGACTGAAAAGTCAGCCTGCATATTAATTATCTTGACCTACTCCACTGGCATTTGGGAGAAGACAAGTAATTTTCTATTATCCCAATTAGCAGTTTCAAACCGTACTAAGTATGGGCCTTACAATACCTTTGTTAAATTAAATTTTAAATTATGTCAGCCTATTCCGTTTTCAAGAGCATAAATCATGAAGTATGATACAAAATATAAAGATATACTTTATCCAGGAATCATCTGCCACAACATTAAAATACTGTGTTGGTTAATACAGCTTGAAGTCAGCTTAGAACATCTCTCTTTCCTTTGTTGTGTGCACTAGGCAATTTGGATGAAGTTTTCAAAGCTTTATCCCTTAATCCTGCTGATTTCCTCCTATGCAGTTTCCTAACTACACATTCTTGGTGTCTTCACTTTTTCAATGAAGTTACAATGTTCTCTTTTCCATTGACCTGAAGATTGCCTACCAGTATTCTCACCTAATGTATGCATATATTTAACTTGGTTTTAGGAATCTACAGCAAAACCTATCTTTTTTTTTTTTTTTTTTTTTTAGGGAGGGTATAAAATGTATTACCTTTGTAGCTACTGTACACATTAGGTTATGTGATTGATATTAGATTGATCAATAGTAATTGATACCTTTAGAATGAAATCTGAGAAGTATATTTTAAAGTTATTTTTTAATCCAACATCCTTTGCACATCATTAATAACTTAAGAGCTACACAGAATATGCAGATCAGTAGCCTAATATCTTAAATTATCTAGACAGAGAGGCTAGATTACTACAATACAGTGCAGAAGATGATAGATTAATCCTCTTCAATCATTTTAAGGGTCCTAGAGTAATTTACTGGAGATTTTCTAAAAGCCATGAATTTTATTTTTAAGAACATTCAAGTAGGAAATGTGTGGGCAAGGGGAAGTTATTCCCAGAATATGAAATTGTATTGAAGGATAAAAAGGAATAAGTTGAAAATAAAGAAAAATGTAGCATCACCTTTCACTGTTTTTTATTGTCACGATAAATTATGCATGCATACGAAGAATTTAAAAGAGCATAATCATCAATTAATATCTAAAATTATAGTTAAAGTCTAAAGGGAGTACATGGAGAAATACATAAGCAATGTGAATAAAAAGACTTGATAAAATCAGGAAAAGAATAGCAGAGAACCTTAAATACGAGTGGGACCTCCCAAAAAAACAGAATTAATTTTTAGAGGGCAGACCCCTTGTAGTACAGGCTTCTCCCACTGGGTAAGTGTTCTAGGAATCTGTCAGCATCAGTGTACCAGTTAGCATTGTTACAAGAGGCTTTGTTTGGCTT